AATAGCGTGGTACTGCTGCCTGCTTAAATGTACCTCCCGTACAAACAGACAGCCAGGAGCAAGTGGGTTGTACAGTACGCCTGTGTTTGTAGAAGCTAAATTGTACATTGATATTTTGTAGCCTACGAACCGATAATTTTATAGTAACTTTTTGCATTAAAGAATACCAGCACTTTGATCTTGACAGTATGGAGTCTTTTATTCTTTTTTGCTTCATTGCTTTTAACCGCTTGACGATGCTCATGTAGTTTAAGATTCACTTACCCGTTGAACTGACCTTTGTGCATTCGCTGGCTGGAAGTATATGGTTTCTGTTGACAAAGAGAATCTTTCTTCTCGACTTGGAAGATCTAATCTGCGTCGTTTAGAATATGGTGCCACGTTATGCGCTGTTTTATCCAATCCGATTATGTAATCATATATTTCTGTTTTAGCATAATTACAAGTTTATAACCGCAGCACGTGTATGATAGAGAATAATTGAGCGGTCATGCTTCATGGAGGTTATGACACAGCTTTGGTCTTCGGTTCGATGCCATTATTTAGGCGAGGTTATATTTGAAGGTAGTGTTTACAGCTGGTTGGCTACCGTTGCGAGTGGTTTCCGTTTTATTTCTAGGAACGACGTTAATTTAATTGCAGCAGAGGGACGAAAGTCAAGTGATCGGTGGTAACTGAACCCAGTAATCTCTTGATTGCAAGTCCGCGGTCTACCGCCTGATCAGTTATATTTTCACCACGTTAAGAGTGATGGGTCATCGGTAATTGTTGAGTTAGCAGTAAATAGACGAATCAGGCAAGCAGTGAGTATTACGTTATTATTAGTAACGGCATTACGTTATTGAGCCTCCCAGGTAAAGACTGCGCAAAGATGCTAGAAAGGAGGTGCCGCGAAATAACTGACTTCAATATACAAGAAGAGCAGTGTGTCTTCCGGCCCAGTCGAAACACCTCTGACCATATATTTGCCCTGCGCCAGATTATTGAGAAATCGTGGGAGAACGCCCGTCAGGTGTACATGTGTTTTGTTGACCTAGAAAAAGCCTATGACTGGATCCCACGCAACAGTCTGTGGTCATGCCATCGAGCATACGGGATAGATGGCCATCTGCTAAGGGCCATCTAATCACTGTATTCTGATAACAGATGCTGCATCAGTAAATGGCGTTAAGTCGAAACCATTCAGCGTTCGCACTGGTTTCCTCCAAGACTGTGTCCTGTCCCCTATCCTACATGAATAGAATGGTCAGGATCGGTCATGAGTATATCGGTGTAGGAGTTGTGAAGACGAGAAGATTGCTGTTTGCAGACGACCTTGTTTTATTGGCATCTTCTGAAACTGATTTTCAGTGCTCCCTAGAAAGGTTTGCAGCCGAGTGCGACATCACCGGCATGCGTGTGAACGTATCTAAAACGAAAAGCCTGGTGCTTTTTCGTTCTCCTGCCCGTTGTTTTCTTCGAATTAACAGAGAAGCAGGGGACAGGTGGAGAAGTTCAAGTGCCTCAGAATTGTATTCACTTTTGATGGAAAATTGAAGGAAGAGATCGAAAGGCGAATTGGAGTAGCCAGTAGCTTTTTGCGTGAACTAGCCCGACCCACTGTGACTAAAGCAGAGCTCAGTCTGAAAACTAAGCTCTCAATATTCAA